GGCAGTCGATTTGGAGGGCTCTGACTCTGATCAGGAGCCAAATGACATTGCGAACCAAGGGGAGGGGGAGAATGTTTCCTTTATTCACCCCGCGGATGTCAATAAGTTTGCGGCACTGATCGATAGAATGATCAAGGCCTTAAACATCCCCGCCCCCAAACCTCCCGAACACGTAGAGGACCCCATGTTTCCCTCGGAGGAGCAGGTCATAACCCCTGCATCTCCCCTACCTGTGCTCCCTTACCTCCTAAAATTAGCAAGGGTCTCCGACATGTCCCCCTCTCTAGTCCCAGCTATTCCTCGACGTCTAGACTTACTGTATAGGATTGACGTGTCCTCGGCCAAATGGGTCTCTACCCCCCCCAGGCCGAATACGGTGGTCGCCGAAGTGGCAAAGACCAAGAGACCTAAAAATTCACTCACTGCCCCCCCAGACAGGGAGGGTAAGAAAATTGATTCTCTAGGAAGAAAGGCACACCTCTCTGCTGGGTTGTTTACCCGAATGGCACACTATGCCACCTATGCTAGTGGCTATCAAACGTTCCTGTGGGGTAAGATGTTGGAGTATATCGAGCTCTTACCGGCTGACCAGCAGCGCTTTCCTAGAGCCATACAAGGGGAGGCACTAACACTGTCAAAGATGCAAAAGGACGCGGCCAAGCATATGGCTGAGGCTGCAGGTAATCTGTACTCCACTGCAACATCACTGAGAAGGCACGCGTGGCTGCGTGCATCTAACTTGTCTGAGGAAGGGAAGGCCCTTGCAGAGGACCTTCCCTTCCACGAGGAGGGCCTTTTTAATCCGCAGACGGATGACAGGCTCAAACAAAAACAAGATGTGAGACAAGCTGCAGGGAAATTCGGATATGCTTGGCAGCCCTACCCCCAGCAACGCCAGAGGTGGAGCCTCCCCTCTTCTGGGTATCGTAGGGGCTATGGAAATGCTTATGGTAATTCCTTTAGGGGCAGGAGCAACAATAATTCTTCTAGGTTTCAGGGCGGTCGCCGGACTCCCTATTTCCCTAGACCTCGTAACCAGGGGTTTGGAAATAAGTCTAAAGCTCAACAGGGACCCAAGAAGCGTCTTTGATGCAGAGACTCCTGTAGCTACTCAGGGGAACTGTAACCCAAACTTGCCTGTTGCAAATGATTTCGCCCCCGTTGTGCAGACTCCTCTACCCACTGTTTCTCTAATGTTTGGTGATAGGTTGTCCCCGTTCCGCCAGTCGTGGTCTAGCATCACCACGGATGGTTGGGTACTTTCCATTGTTTCTCATGGCTATGAAATTGAGTTTTCTGATCCACCCAGAGTGGGCCTTGTCCGATGCACATTACCATCAGGCCCCCTGTTACAAGAGGTACAAATGTTATTGGATAAAGGAGCTGTTTCCCCTTTGGACCCTTCTGTTTTCAAATACTGCTTTTTCTCCCGCTATTTCCTGGTTTCCAAACGTGGAGGTGGGCTGCGTCCCATCCTTGACCTGAGGCACCTCAATAAACATGTTCGACCAAAAAAGTTTAGAATGGTCACTCTTGCCTCCATTTTACCTTTATTGTCCAAAGGGGTGTGGTTTGCTACCGTCGACTTAAAAGACGCGTACTTCCACATATCAATTGCGCATCACCACCGAAGGTTCCTCGCCTTTATGGTGGGGGATAGGGCTTATTGTTTCAATGTCCTCCCCTTTGGGTTATCCACAGCCCCCCGGGTGTTCACAAAGTGTATGTCGGTGGTGGCCGCATACCTGCGCACAAGGGGCATTACGGTATACCCCTACATTGATGACTGGCTGATTGTGTCGAGGTCAAGAGACCAACTCCAATCCCAAATCTCTTGTGTTCTATCCCTTCTCCAGTCTCTCGGCCTGGTGGTCAACCTCGACAAGTCATCTCTGTGCCCGTCCCAGCGGATCAGCTTCATCGGTGCCACGCTGGACTCGGTCTCTCAGAGGGCCTTCCTTCCACCAGACCGCTTCGCCAACCTGAGGGAGCTGGTGTTACAGGTCATGCGTTCCCCGTCGGTGTCAGCCAAACAAATCCAGATCCTGTTGGGGCACATGGCCTCCACCACGTCTGTCACCCCATATGCCAGATTACGCATGCGGCCCCTCCAGTCATGGTTTGTCTCAACGTTCAACCCACTGGTGGACAACCCTTCCATGAGACTCACGGTGCCGGCGGCTGTTCGCCAGTCCCTTTATTGCTGGCAGGATGCGCTGTGGGTGTGTGCGGGGCTTCCTTTTCATCCTCCCACCCCCACGCGGGTCATTACTACGGACTCGTCCCTCAGGGGTTGGGGTGCCCATTCCGAGGGTCTCATCGCTCAAGGCGTATGGGAAGGAGAGGAAAACGCCCTTCACATAAACATGTTAGAACTCCTCGCGGTGGAAAGGGCGCTACTCTCTTTCGAAAGAGTCGTAGGGGGCCAGATAGTACAAATCCTCACCGACAACACCACGGTGATGTACTATCTCAACAAACAGGGGGGCACCCATTCCCTCCCCTTGCTGTCTCTAACGATCCGCATTTGGAATTGGTGCTTGGATCGGGGAATACACCTCTTAGTAACACATCTCCCGGGGRAGCAGAACCAGCTAGCGGACTCACTCAGTCGGGGTCCTCTAACACACCACGAGTGGTCCCTTCACCGCGGAGAGACCCGGAGACTCTTCCTGGCATGGGGCACTCCAGAAGTGGACTTATTTGCGACTCAGATCAATTCGAAATGCGACCTGTTCTGCGCTCGGACTCAGGCCTCCATAGAGATAGGGTGTCTGGGGGACGCCTTCCTTCTGGACTGGTCGACTCGACCGATGTACGCGTTTCCCCCGTTTCCCCTCATCCTGAGGGTGGTGGCCAAGATCCAAAGAGAAAACGCGCGGTGCATTTTAATAACCCCGTGGTGGCCTCGCCAACCTTGGTTCTCTCCACTTCACCAGATGGCGAGGGGRGTATTCTTCCGATTCCCGGACAGGTTCGATCTTCTAACGTCGCAGAACGACCAGGTCTTGTATCCGGAGGTGGGCAAACTGAAGCTCACAGCGTGGAGGATTCTTCCTCTTCTCTAGCTTCATTTGGAACATTGTCTTCTCCGGTGCTGGCGATCATTGATGCTGCACATAGACCTTCGACGAAACGTTCTTATGTCTATAAATGGGCGAGATTTGACTCGTTTGTCCGTTCAAAAGGACTTGATCCTATGACTGCTCAGACTTCCGTCGTTTTGGATTTTTTGGTGTCCCTGGCGGATTCGGGACTATCTCATTCTTCATTAAAATGTTACCTGGCGGCGATTTCCTGGTTTAGAAGGAAGTCTGGTTTGCCGTCATGTTTTACGGATCCACTAGTTAGGATCTTTCTGCGAGGATTCGCTAATATTAGGCCTTCGGTGGCCCCAATCGCTCCATCTTGGAGCTTGGAATTGGTGTTAAACTGTTTATCAAAACCTCCCTTTGAACCCTTGGCTAGGATTGACCTATCCTTTTTGTCATGGAAGACAGCCTTTCTGGTGGCAATTACATCTGCTAGGCGCTCCAGCGAACTATGTGCGCTACGAGTAGACCCACCCTATCTTAAGTTTCATAGTGATAGAGTGGTCTTGCGTACAGATGTGGGTTTTCTCCCTAAGGTGGCTACTCGTTTTCACATATCTCAGGAACTGGTGCTTCCGGGGTTCTTTCAAAACCCAGTTACGCCGACAGAGCGGGCTCTGCATTTGCTGGATGTTCGCAGGGCTATCGCTTTTTATGTGGATAGGACGGCTCTGCTCCGGAAAACCCCTAGGTTATTCATAAAATATCGTAAAGACGCTATTGGTCTTCCGTTGTCTTCCCAGAGATTTTCCTCGTGGATAGTTTCTGTCATTAGTTTGTGTTACCGTCTGGTTGGTAAAGATCTGCCATTGCAGATACGGGGTCATTCCACTAGGGCTGTGGCAACGTCGACAGCCTTTTTACGGGGAGTGTCCTTAGATGCCATTTGTCGGGCTGCTGTTTGGTCGTCCCCTCTGACTTTCGTGTCACATTATAAGGTGGACGCTGTTTCCCAAAGGGATATGGAATTTGGTAGAGCGGTACTATCTTCGGCGGTGGCATGATCCCGCCTGCCAAGAGGGATGCTCGCTAATCTACCAAATGTACGATTCACAGTGACTACGACAGGAAATTATAAGTTGCTTACCTGTA